TAAGCAGAGCTGAGGCACCCTATTTCATTTGGTTTACATGCCTATTTAAATTGCTTACTTAGTTAATTTGTTGATTAATTAGAGTTGTGTAATAATTAGCTGTAGCTTGTTATTCATTTCGTTGTGTAATAACTAGTTTAATTAGATTAGCTTAGATTAGTTAGTTGGTTCTGTATTATTCATTCGGACCCTCCGTCGAGAGGGCACAACTGTTGTAAATAAGTGTGCGTGTGTGTGATGCATGTCTTCCAACCCCTATTTCTTTCTCCTTTTTATTTACCAACTTACGGCGGTCAGTTTTAGGGCATGTTTCAATTAGCATCCTTATGCTCGCATGTTTGCATTCATTCATCTGTCTTGCATGCACCGGGCTCGGCGCATCATACTAACTGCATTGTATTTCAATTTCTGTTTGAATACATGTATCAAGTTGCATTTCACATGACATTTTAGAATAGTCGAGCCTATCTTAGTTGCATTTTGCATGTGTTGCATTAGGCATTCTTGACATAGCTAGGATCATGCATGATTACTAACTATCTTTTGTTTTGGCTCGGAGTACTCGGTAAGTGTTTATGCTTTAGCATCCTTGCATGTGTGCAAGTGACTACCATGATAGCATGCTTGCCATGAGGCTAACTGCTTATATAATATAACTGCCTGAATGCCTTTGGGTGAATGTTGGATTACTTGAATTGAAACAATTCATTGATTGCGAGTTTTAAGCCCACTTGAGAATGGCAAAATCATGTTTTCTTAAGCCCACTCGAGGATGGCAAATCCATGTGTTAGCCTACTTGCGAGTAGCACCTTCAAACCATTTTCAAACAAACATGAGATGTTTTGTTCCAACTTAGGCGATCTAGTCTATACTTGTATGTTGTGCGCATCACATAGTAATTCTAGCTAATAATCGGGATAAGAACGTATATGTTTTCAAAAACAAGATATCATGCTTAGTACAGGCCGATCTTTGATCAGGTGAGCGGGGGTGCTCATAGATGACCTTCCCCAATCGTACCCAAGTTCTCGAGCCGAGGCAACTTTGGTGATAACGGACACGTGGCCTTAGGCAACGAGTCAGGGTTTCCTAAATTCCCACAAAATAAAATATTTAGGTGGCGACTCTGTATTTGGCAAAGCAGTCTATGTTTGGCACTTCTTTCTTAAAAATCAGTTTTCCAAAACGATTTATCGAATTTGGACTATTTGGTGATTTATCAGTCTCGCATTGCACTTTGCGGGATTAGATTCAGAACCATGACATTTGAGTCCGAACTGTAGAAGCAAAGCCTGAAGGCGCGTCTACATTCATCCCAACAAATCAAATTTAGTTGGTGAATGAAACAACTTGTGATTCTATTATATTTTAGGTAAATAACTGAAGCATCAAGATTTTTTTTTAATATTTCTCGTAAAAAAAATCCATTAATATACAACAGCCTCTGGGCCTTGAGTTGAGGACAAATCAATGGTGACCACAGTTCAATTTTCATGTGTGATGATTGAAATCATGTATTGTGGTTTGGGTTCTTGACCAAACCCCATCTGAATAATGCTTTGCAGATCATCTTCACACAATGTTGGAAACTGAGGATTTCAAGTTGAGAAAAACAGAATTAGATGATGAAAAACTCTTTCTAGATTTTTATTTTATTTTATTTTATTTATTTTTGCGTATTTCCAACTTTTCGTTGTTTTCCTTACTGAAACATGAAAAATGAAAACGGAGAAAACAAAGACAACATCAAATTCTTCAGGAATGGGCCAGCATTTGAATACCTGTGGAAGACCTTGGCCGAATTCATCGACCGGAGGTAATTGCATGCCGTTGTTTTGGCATAATGTGGTGCTTGTATGGTCCCTATTGGAAAGATTAGTATGTACTGGTGGAAATTCCTGGGTCTGTTGTCCAAAGAAAGCAGAAGCAGAGGAATCTAATGGGTATATTTGATGAGGGAAAAGCCATTAGGCTGAAATACCTGGAATTTTCAACCAATTTTAGAAAAAAAACGTCACAATAGATAAAAGAAATTGATTTTACAACAAGTTTCTATACTCACATCTTTTGACAAGAGACTATCCATGTTAAATTCCAACCTTGGATTCACAGAAGCTAGCTTCATTGACAGAAACTACAAAATACAAAATGAATACACAATACCCATTAAGTCATAGAACTCAATTATGCAATCAAAATGAAACCCCATGGTATAAAACAAGTCCTAATTTACCTCGTTGCAGTGACTGCACATAGTTTATAATTTCATTAAGCATAAGTGCTTTTCCATTCACCTACAAGTACAATGGAAAGAAATTTTTTTAAAGAAACAATTGGAAGACCAATGATACCTTGGAAAGCTTCATTTTTTGCATACTTTTCTTTTAAACTGTCTACAAACGTGTGATAGGGGCGCCATCCACTAGGATCTACCTCTATATTCACGTTCTCTATTCGTTTTTGGACATCCTTCAAACTATTGCAACAGTGATGGAGCATTAGCATTTGCCTTCCAAACGTATATGTTAGAGAACTTATAGAAGAAAAAGTCAAAAAGATTCACTCTTACATTTCAAGGATATCAGGTGTAGGAAGTTTGGAAATGAAATGGACCACAGCCCCATCCAAAAAAGATGGCTGCTTTGGAGCATCAACAAAAGCATACTCAATACCATCCTTGACAATTTTCTATATGTCTGATCTATGCTTGTCAAGATGCCCTTATGAGTGATATATGAATCAATATGTGTCCAGGGAAAATCCTGCCAACCCATTTGTCAAGATGTATGTCATAAAGAAGTCTGCCTGAAAGAAAAAAAACAAAAAGCAATGGGATCAATAAGCCACTGCCTGGATCATCTTTATGAGTAATAAAATTATCAAAGAACAACATTATTTCATTGAAGTGTCCAAAATTATTGAACAGTTAAATCCAGTAAATAGTAGAGTTAATGCAAGGACATAATTGATTATGTAAGTTTAGAGATAAAGAAAACAATTGCATCACGCTCCCTTGATCTTACAATGTTGCATAGTACAACCTTAGATAGAAAACAACCCAAATCTAAGAATAGATAGAATAAAAATATGGAAATATACATCTTCACAGTTTCATATGCTTTCCACATTGCTCTCACCCTTCTCATATCACATTAGCCAAACCCTAAAACAGAATATTATACAAAACATGAAGAAAAAAATAAAAAAAGGAATATACAGTTACATAATATATATAGTGAATCAATAAGGATCAGTACACTTACTTGGGCCAAGACAGCACTTGCAAGATGGCTAGGAAAATCGTTAGGATGAGGAACAGATTTTCCAATTTGATCAAGTAAAGACCCTGATAACAAGGTTAAGAAGAATACATTTCCCAACAGAAAATAAAAGACCATGTTGCAAGCTTTTATCTCCTTTTTACTCCTCGATACATAGCCTTCCAGTTTAGCCATTCCAAGCATGGCAAACAGAATGACATATATAAATCCACTAAGGATGGCACTTGGAAGATACCCTGTAATGACAGGTCCTAAGTAGGGTCTGTAGGACAGATATCATCTCAGTAAAAAAAATGATCGACATAAAGACATGTACGAATCAATTGTACCAGACAGATAAGAATAGTGTCAAAATCTAAACAGGAAAATAAATGTAAGCAAGTAATTAGCCACCACTTTATATGCATGAATAAGCTGTTTATTCTATAGCATTGATTTTTGATAAATGTTATGACAGAAAAATACATTAAAGAATAGTACTCTTACATCAAATGTACAGCCATGGCTGAAGGAAACCATGTCTTTAATCTTTCATATTTTGCTATTCCTTGAACTGCAGTCACTGGGATGGCAAAAAATAGTGTAAGAAGTGATGTTGCAACAAAAACTCCAATTTTATACAGTGGCAAATGCCTATATGGGATTGGCAAATTTCTCCATAGTCCATCCCTTGGTTCTGGAGCCATTTCAGTGATCCATATAAGTGGATTTGAGTGCTATTGAGATTGGGCAGCTAGAGTAGCACCCTACCGGTTTCTGAATGTAACAAAAGCAACAGGCAACTCCTACGAAAATGATAGCACACCATATCAATTTATGTCCAAACTTTTAACAAAAAGAAGTAGAATGGGTAGTCACTACAAAATTAGATAGGGTTGTGTCTAGAAAGATGATCAAAAGTCAAAAAGAAGTAGAATGGGTAGTCACTACAATATCATCTTAACAATATGCCTAGAGGGAATGAAGACTTAATGGATTCAGATTTTTTACATGGTTTTGTTGTTCATAAAAACTCTGTACTTTTTTCAAGGACATGTAAAATATCCAATGATCTAAATGTAACATGAACAACAAAGTCACCCCATACTTTACAATATACATGGGTATTTCTTTCTTAAAATATAATCAAAATCACTCTTGTCTTCATGCCAATGCACCAACAATGAGTAATGTTACGAGAAATCATTCAAGTTGTAATGTAAAGAATTGGACCATTACCCAGTACATTACTGGCTGTACTTGTAATTTACTTTATTCATTACAGTAAGATGATTTCAAGGACAAGATAGAATGAACTAGGCCCTATATAACCAAAAGGCAATCTTCTTAATGTTCGCAAAGCCTTAGATATAACTCCCAAAGGCAACAAACGCTAGTAACATTTAAAACCATTCACAGTGGTGAAGCTGAACTCAAAGCATAAAATTATCAAAGGAGATGGCAAACATTGGTTTCCATGAAAAAGATCAATGTATTGTTAAAAGGTCCCAGAAAATCTTGAGAGAGAATTGTCTGAGCCACGATAAAGCTGAGGAGTTCCGAAAAAAGGTCAATACTCTCTCACCCCAGGGAAAGCAAATTATGTAATACAATACAAAATAATAATAATAATAATAATAATAATAATAATAATAATAATAATAATGTAGAAGCCAGAGTTGTAAGTATGTACTCATTATGTTAGTAACCAAAAACTGACAAGTGAAGTTCATATGCACAAAAAATTAAAAAATTAAAAAATCAATATATCTGAAAATTTGACAAGTGAAGTTCATATGCTGTTCTGCAACTGAAAATAGGGAAATTTCTCAACTTCCATGATAAAATTGGACAAGCTTTAAGATCCTTAGTAGAGTATCAAAATAAGACAACAAAGTCCAAAAACAAAAACAAAAACAAAAACAACAAAACAAAAAAGAGTCATACTGAGTTAATCAAGATCCTAGAGCATCCAAATAAGACAATCAACTAAATTAATTTTTGTATTTTGGTTGTATATGCACTAAAATTAAAAGCATCAAAACTGAGCATTTTCAATAGTTAACACACCATGAAAACTGATAATTGGACCACACACATATGTTGCAGACAACTACTAAACCATGATGAATTCTTGGTATATAAGCATTCTCTGTATATGTAGGCGCGAACCCAAATTAAATTAAGTTATTTGGCATTTGGTAACCAGTAGACTGGTAACCCTTATTATTCCTTGGCCAGCTGGACTATATATACTATCTTCATTATTATTATTATTATTTCTTGACTAAGAACTAACCAGCAGAAGAAGAATAAGACTAAAAGCAAAGTAGGTCATTAATTTCTCTCATTCTCACCACTTGAAAGCAGCTCAATAGTCTATCAATGAGTAAAAAACTATATTTAGATTTACAAATTTCATTATTAATGAATATCACTACAAGTCTACCTAGTCTATCATTGCATCCACGAAACAACACTTTGGTACGAAATCCACACAATTTAAGCAAAATAACAAACAGCTATTCACAAACAAAGCATAGAAGAAACTGAAAAATCTAGAAATCCCCTAGATGTTGATTTGTGATTATGTATCAATTTTAAGCAGAATATAACAATCCCAATCAAACAATCAAGACAAAGAGACACAACGATTTTACGTGGAAAAAACCACAATTGGACACCTCCAACTGTGATAAAAAAACCACGGGCAACAGCCACAAGAACAATCCACTAAGTACAATTGGTTAGATCCAATTATTCGAATCAACATCCAATTCAATGTAGATATACAAATTTTAAGATTTACAGTAAATCAAACCTATAAAATTATTCACTTTTCATTGTTGTGAAAGAATAATTTAGTGCTGACATTCAAGTGCAAAATCTAATGTGTGAAATGGTCTCACATTGATAAGTGTATATATACCATAAATAATACGTTATAAATATCGGTATATATAGGATGTTAGGTGATTGTTATTTTCTAGTACAATAGTCACGATTGTGCTTTTAGTGATCTTATTTTGATAATTCGAACCGTTCAATTTTTAGAATCCGTCAAGTACAATATTTTTGTAAAAAATTAAATTAATCGGATATTAGTAGCCTTTTTATCAAAAACACATTTGTATCTAATAAAATAAAAGGTAGATGTGAGTTTCATTGTTAACTTGAATAAAAATATGATTCGATCAATCGTTATCAATTTCTATGCAATTTAATTTTTTACATAACACTCTAAAAAATAACAATTCATGTTATCAAAATAGAATCTAGAGTTGGAGACCTAGCTCGAGCGAGAACTCCTTGGCTCGAGCGAGCAACGACGGACATGCAATTTTGAATGCAATTTTGCGTTTTGCTTCGGCCGCGAGCTGACCGGTCAGCTCGACCCCCGTAATAATCAGCGAAGTGGCAATCTTGAAAGCATTAACATCACAAACTTCTCTGCATGGTTCGATTCGGGTTTGGATTCACATCTAATAAACTCATAGCCTCACTGAAATAAAAGCGCGAAAATAAATACATCTGAAAGGAGTTTTGTCAAACGGGGTTGCCAAGAATAAAAACCTAACAGAAACATTAATTATATACCCACTAAATCTTCACAAACCAATGGGAAGAAGATGAGCAAAGAGAGATTCACAAACAGCTATTCACAAACAAAGCACAGAAGAAACATTTAAGAAAGAAACAAGTTTCAAATGTTCCTAAAATTTGAGCTCAACTAACCTCTGATCTCACTGATCGAAGAAGACGAAGAGTTCCAAATCCACAAAGACGAACACCACAACTGGAATCACCGAGCTGAAGAAGGTTTTGAAGGATTCGATCGATTTTTCTAAGATTGTAGAAGGTGGTGCTCACAATCGAGAGAGAGAGAACTTCAAAATCAAAATCGCAATCGCTTTGAGATGAATCACTAAGAGGAATCACCATGCTGAAGAGGAATCGAGCGAGAGAACTTCGTATTGATTCGATCCTCTGAGACTGAAATTAGGGTTTAAAGAGAGAGAGAGAGAGAGAGAGAGAGTCCCCTTGGAGTTGTGAGAATAGATCGACTTTGTGTAGGGTTTGGAAATAGGGGTTTGAAGAGAGACAGGGAGTGGGTTTGGAAATAAGGATTTGGAGGCGCTTTTAAACGACCTCTATTCAGAAACGGAACCGTTTTAATTAACACAAAAGGCTACGTTTACAAAACGTCGTTAATTATCAGAAAAGGTGATGTTTAAAAAAACGCTGTTAATTAAACGTCGCTAAATCCATGATTTCCTGTAGTGGTATCAGGGAGCACAAAGAATCCCAGAAAACCAACCCTAGCCAACAGCCAAACAGACCAAAAACAGAATCCAATTTCTCCTTCTTGATTAGTTTTTTGGTTAATCTAGAAGCCAGAGAACAGCATATTTTGGGGTCTGGGCTAACTGTATATGATATGACACTACAAGAAAAAACACAATTGCCTACCAAATTTCCCAACTAAAAAGAATTTGGTCGCTGAAAGTATAGCTTTCAGCGACCAAAAAAGAATTAGTAGCCAATTGTGAAGCTTTTTGGTGACTAAACAAATTTAGTAGCCAAAAGTCCACAATTGGCGACTAAAAATAAGTTTGGTCGCCAATTATATGGGTTTTACCCGACTAAAACATTTTTAGTAGCCAAAAGTATAGTTTTCGCCGACTAAAAAAATTTTAGTAGCCAAAAAGGCAGCAATTGTTGACTAATTCCCAACTAAAAAGAATTTGGTCGCTGAAAGTATAGCTTTCAGTGACCAAAAAAGAATTAGTAGCCAATTGTGAAGCTTTTTGGCGACTAAACAAATTTAGTAGCCAAAAGTCCACAATTGGCGACTAAAAATAAGTTTGGTCGCCAATTATATGGGTTTTACCTGGCTAAAACATTTTTAGTAGCCAAAAGTATAGTTTTCGCCGACTAAAAAAATTTTAGTAGCCAAAAAGGCAACAATTGTTGACTAATTATAATTTTGGTCGCCAATTATGTGGGTTTTACCGACTAAACATTTTTAGTAGCCAAAAGTACAATTTTTGCTGACTAAAAAAAATTTAGTACCCAAAAAGTCTACAATTGGCGACTAATTCTAAGTTTGGTAGCCAATTATGTGGGTTTTACCGACTAAAACATTTTTTAGTAGCCAAAAGTAAGTTTTTTGGCGACTAAAAAAAATTTAGTAGCCAAAAAGTGTCCAATTGACGACTAAAAACAAATTTAGTAGCGAAGAGTGGTCTTTTTTACCGCGAAAGTCTCTTCGCCGACCAAAATTATTTTGGTCGCTAAAAGTTAAATTTTTATTTTTATTTTCCTACTAAATGATTTATTTTCACATAAATTATGTCAATAAAAATAATTATGTATATTACATACATATAAATAATATATATTACATATATAATCATGTGGTGTTACATTGGCATAGTGGGAAGTGTGTGGGAAGTGTGTGGTGCATAAGGCTTATGTTGTGGGAGGTCGGTGGTTCGAGTCTTTATAAGAGCGGATGGAAAGCTTAAAAATGAATTATTTTTTTTCACGGAGGAAGCTTTTGGTGACTAAAAATGTTGGTCGCCGTTTGGTAGCTTTTGGCGACTAAAGGTTTTGGTCGGCGATTCCTTGACTATTGGCGACTAAAACATTGGTCAGTGAATGTATGATTTTAAAGAAATATAATTGATTATTGGCGATCAAAATTTTGGTCACTAAAGACTTGCTTTTTGCCGACCAAATGTTTTTTAGTCTTCAAAACCCTCAAAAACCTTTCCCGATAGGTTTTTGGCAACAAATGTAGTGACCAAAATTTTTTGTCAACAAATGGCTTTGGCGACCAAAAAACAGACAATTGGCGACCAATATTTTAGTAGTTAAAAATGACTTTTTTTGTAGTGTGACTAGAGATGGCATACGGACGAGTTTAAATAGATTTGGATGAGCCAAAACGAATTATGCATTTAAAACAATCTAATCCAAACTCTTCAGTTAACAAAGAGGTTTAAGCAAACAAAACCTTTCCTATGAGTTAAATTAGGTACAAATAAATCCATACATAACTCATTTAATTTATTAACTTTTTTGAAAACAACAGGTGGTGGAAGTGGGATGGCTAGTTGTAGTAGTTCTAGAGATGTTTGTGGAGTAAGTAACCAATTTGGGAGTTGCAACTGATACATTTGGGAATAAGAAACACAAGTTGCTATATACATGTGTCAACATCCTATTTCATAGACAAAAGACTTTGTGCGCACTCCACCCGCAAGTTTAGGTTCAGTCCATTTTCTTAATTTACATCCCTTATTGTACTCTTTTAACATTTCCTCTTCAGATTCTTAAAGAAGACATGGGTTCATATTTTCGGGAGAATTACATAAAAAGTGGGATTTGGGGCAATTATTTACTAAACAATCAGAAATATTATTATTATTATTATTTATTTTATTTTATTTTATTTTATTTATTATTATTATTATTATTATTATTTTGGTCAATGGCACTCGGAGTGAAAATTCAAAGAAAAAAAAGAAGCAAAATTGTGAAAAATTGCCTTCGGGTTGGCGCGTGGTGGGATTGGGTGAAGAAGAGGTGTCCAAGCTATAGAGGATGGCAAGGGATGGCTGGAAGAAAAAAGAAGAGTGAAAAAAGAATAGAAATGAGAGACACAAAGATAGGGATATTTTGGTAAATGCAATGGTGGATTTCACTATTCGTAATTTTTTTTAATCACCCACTTTTTCTAAATAATTGCCTCAAATCTCATTTTTATGTAATTCTCCTTTCATTGTTTTATCGGTGTATCTTATTATTCATCTCATCAAGGGAAATTTGTAAAGCTGCAATATGAAGACATTGACTAGTTTGGTATGAGAAGTTACAAGCCCATTTTACAGCAGTAAAAAGAAGCGAGAATACGTCTAACAATGCTCAACATGCTCTTAAATATCAATGGACATATTAGTGTTTTATCCTTTCGATATGGATATTATAATTAAAACACTCTGGTGTATAGGATAGAATTAAATTACATTTGTTTCCATATAGTTGGTTCGATTGTTATAATTTTTTACGGTTAATGATTTTAAAAAATTCATCACCATACACATCATTTTATAAATATTATTAGGCTACAACCAATACAGATATCTGTAGATACTACTGTTTAGCACTTTGAATTACGTAACTTTAATTTTAGTCCAAGGAATCAACTGGGTTCGATTCCATTAACTGCAATATTAGTATTTAATAATCATCAAATCACATCTTACTATATCAGTCATGAAAAAAATAAAAATAAAAAAAGGGGGCCAATTGACAAGTCTCACCATCACAAAACCTTCACATTAGGTGATGTCAAATCCATGTTTGAGAGATAGAAAAACTTGAGCTTTTTGTTTTTGTTAAAAAAAAAGAAGTGCATGCTTATTTTTGGAGTTAAGTGCTTCTTAATTCCCCCCCCCCCCTCTTCTTTTTTTATAGCTTCTTATTGTTATTATTATAAATAAATAAATAAAATAATGAAGCTGAAGGGTTAGTTGTATGTATACGAGTAACAATACTAAGAGTAGTTTATTTTTTCCGAATCTCTCTCTCAATGCATTTCATTTCCTTATACGTTTAATTTTATATTTTTGATCAAATTTTTACTTTATTGATAAAAAACAAAAAAACTAAGAGTTACAAAAACAAAAGCATTGCCAATACAATATAGAAACAGTTTGAGACGTGCATTTTGTTAAGCATTAATAAAATAATCAGTTTGAAACTAGTGTAAACCAATTATATAAAGAAAGAAACATAATAATAGATCACAATACATACGCAATTGATTACGTTCACTCACTGTCCTATATCCATTACTTGGATTTGCATTAATCAAATCAAATATTATATGACAAATGTCACTTTTGTAGCCATTCCGGTGTTGCTAATTATTAATTTATCAATTACTATGTATTAGCAAATCTTGAACTTGTTTTTCAAGTGATATGGATTGGCTATGAAACTAGAATTTATAATCAAAATTCAATTACTCTAACTAACTAGCTAGTGCCTTGCAGTCATCAAAGAAGTCCAGGCTCCCAACAGCTAAGTTCCCAATCATGCATTAGAGGTCAAGTTACAACTTCAACCTATTTAAAGTTGCATACATCTGTTTGTTACAGTTTTTGGAGGTGATTATAACTTATTTTGATTTGAGAGTCTGTGTCAGACTATTTGGTGCAGCTTTTGCTTATAACTTATTAGGCAAAAATAATTTAAATAAACTGAAAAAGCTGACTATTTGAAGGCTGGAGTATGAGTGCTTTTAGTTTTTACTTTCTGATTATCAACTTTTAATTTAAAAAAAGTTCTACCAAGCAGAACCATTGTCATTTCAGACCTCACTTTAGTAAGAATCTCGTATAAATTTTTTTTTTTCCCCGCGCAAATTGGATTGTATCCCAACTAGAAGGATACCAATTAGCCGTGTAATTGTCTAATAGGTCTGACAATTGGCTTACCACCTCATAGACGTATACCCACCTAATTAATAGTAAGAATATATATGATTAAAAAAATATGATCATTCTAGCGAGGGGTGTGTGCAGTGTAATTCGAACAGTTTGAGGGTAAAATTATAAATCGAATGGTGGATTGATGAATTGACAAATTGCAGTTCAAGCGGTTTTGAGCGAATTGACAGATTGAAGAATATTCTATCCAATTATCAAGTTTTTACATAATATATAATACTAATTTGAATAATATTTTTCATATATACAACACAAGCTAATTTTATATAATATTTTTCATATTTGTAACTATTAATTTGTAATAAATTTTACATATTAAATCTCTTTCACACTCATTTTTATTTTGATATTTCATTATAGGTTAAAAAATATATAAGTATTAACTATAACGGAGCTTAACAATTTCGAATGCGGATTATAAATTTTAAAGTTTAAACTGCAATTAACAGATAGAACGGTATAAATTAATACAAATCGATACGATTTTAATAAATTTGGCAATATTTTACACAGAGTCAATTCTAACATTGTTGACTTTCAACTGGAGTGCGGACAATATTTGTGCCTTTTGGGTAGGGTGGCCTGTTTCACAGCTTCATGTTCT